AGGCCAAGGTACGGATAAATCGATCCTGGGCTTGAGTTGTCGCCCTTGGTCGACCTGAGCGTGGTCTGTCCTGTACAGATTGTGTATCACGGTATCTGGACCATAGCCTGCTTATGACAGACTGAGAAACATTCATCGTCCGCGCCACAACCGCCTGTGTTGTGCCGATCTGTAGCATGCCAAGGGCACGTAACCTTTCATTTTGGGTAAGCCGACGCATATCAAAATTTGTTTTCTGGTCACTAAAACAATTAAACTGATGTTTCCACCCTGGAATTCAATGCCACAATGACTGTAACATTCAAAGTCAGAGTCGTGCAAATCTTGGGTTGGACCCCCATGATGATCCCAAGCATCACCTGCATTCCATGCGGTAGCTATTGGTGCGTTTGGGCGTCACATGTAACTGGAAATGTCATTTGCATATTTTAGTATTATGCCCCCAAAATCAAATATCCCCTACTTGTCTTGAATAGTATATTACAAACTAATTTTAACATAAATTTTCTTCGTATAGATTATAGCTAAAAGTTTATAAAAGTTACGTAGAAATATCTGAAAATCTGAAAAGCCTGAATGGGTTGTAAATAGGTCAATTTTACACCTTTTTTCACCTCTTAATCGAATTTGCTCGAAAATGAAATCGAAATTAAAAAAACTGTTCCCAACATTTTGTGCGCCTTTAAAGGGCACACTCTTTTAGTTATATCAGTTTTTTAAAAAATAATATTTGCTTTCGAAAAATGGTACCTTACTGTCAAAATTGTAGTTTTTGGTAAAATTAAGCCACTTCCGGTGCGGACAGATAACTCTATTGGTAACAAAAAAAATGACAATTGAGACAATGGAGTATGTGAACTTTGTTTTATACAAATCGAGCAATAAATAATTAATCTAGGACTGAAAAACTGAATTAGCCAATGGCGGCCAAGGAAAATTACTGAGACAAAAAAAATCACATTTTTGCCCAAGTCAGATGACTCGTTAATTTTGTGTAAAACACGACTAAAAAATATTCATAAATAAAAAAGTTTTTTGTAAAAATTTAAATTTTCAAATTTCGAACGACAAAAGCCATAGATGAATGTTCGAAATTCAAAAATGTGAGATAGCCATTGTCTCGGAAAAGATTCAGGGTTTCCAAAAATGTGAATTGTTTTAAAATAGGTAAAGAATTGGCGAAACCACGGCCGCTTTTTGATTTATTGCTACCGTTCAAAATTCGGCCACTTCCGGTCTGCGCAGAAGTTTCAAAAATACTTTATCAAGTAACCACCACATGGTTTCCCGATAGAAAATTTGGTTCCAGATCGATATGTGTTTCTGATCATGGAGAAATAGGCTCCCGCGGTAAATAATAATAATAATAATAATTTTAGTAATCTCAATAGTTTCGTCTGAAAGCCTAATAATTTTAGTAATCTCAATTTGAATACATATCTTAACTTTTAAACCTGTCCCAAATGTCTGTAGAAGACACCTACGGAACTTAGAAGTTCAAGGAATTTTGGGTGAGGTGGGGTAGTGTACGTGTGTTTTGTTAATATTTATTGGGCCCACAAGTTAATGTTAGGACCTACAACTTTCATGAATGGCGTCTACCAGCGGGTCCTGTTGGCTTACAACTTTTCTTGACGAATTTTAAACACTGGACACAACGAAAAATGGGTGTGGCTCTGCCCCTGGGGGTTGGGCAATCACCAAAAAACAATTGGGGGCATCCTTAGGGTATAACGAATAGGTATGCGAAGTTTCAAAATGATCTGTTAAACATCGCGGCCTGTAGATGACAAACAAAAAAAATACAAGAAATGGGCGTGGCTCTGTCTCAGGGGGTCGGGCATGTAACAAAAACAATAGGGATCATCCTTAGGGTATAAGGAATTCATACGAAATTTTTTCAAGACGATTGATTAAGAATTGTGGGCTTTTGTGGCCTGTAGGCGACACACAGACACACAAAAAGAAAATGGGCGCGGCTCTGTGCCTGGTGGTTGGGCATGCACCCCAAACGATAGGGGTGTTCCTTAGGGTACAAAGAATAAGTATCAATATAATACGTTAAGAAATGCGGCCTGTAGACGACAAACAAACAAATACAATAAATGGGCGTGGCTCTGCCCCTGGATATTGGGCACGCACCAAAAATAATAGGGATATCCATAGGGTATAAGGAATAAGTATGTAAAGTTTCAAGATGATCACTTACGAAATGTGGCCTGTAGGCGACACAAAGACACAAAAAGAAAATGGGCGAGGCTCTGCCCCTGGGGGTTGGGCATGCACCCCAAACGATAGGGATGTTCCTTAGGGTACAAAGAATAAGTATTTAAAGTTTCAATATGATACGTTAAGAAATGAGGCCTGTAGATGACAAAGAAATACAAAAAATGGGCGTGGCTCTTCCCCTGGGGGTCGGGCATGCACCAAAAACAATAGGGATCATCCTTAGGGTATAAGGAATAAGTATATATAGTGTGAAGATGATCACTTAAGAATTGTGGCCTGTAGGCGACACACAGACACACACACACATACAGACAGGGGCGACGGCAATATATGTCCACATTCATAATGTGGATGTATAAAAATCATTAAAATCAGTCAAAAACTCGCGAAGTTAATGCGATTTTTCACTCGTAAACAACTTTGTCGGCATGAAAAACGTCAGAGGCAAAATTTGAAATTGTGACATTTTCAAATACCATAAATTCGACCCTGATCCAGGCTATCCAGAAATGTATTCATTTTGGAAATAGGAGACGTATTCTCCAAACTACGGCCTATTGTTTTTATTTTCATGTACATTATCGTCGATTTTTCACTTTTTCTAATATTCAGTTCAAAATGGTGACCATCAGTTGACCGATATCAAAATTCAGATCCGATAGATTTTTAGGCATTCCTTCAAGGATTCAGAAAATTAACTCCCATGTCTGTAGTAAAATACTGCAAAAGCCTTATGGATTTTTCACGTTTCAAGATGGTTGCTCCTTCCAGTTCAATCGGCAGACTTCATATTTTCTGTACACATCAGTCCTTTCTTAGCTAGTACAGAAAAAAAAAATTCAAGGCAATCTGACCTATATTTCGTCGGGTTTTTTTTGTTGAAAACTTTGATACTCAATTTCATCAAGGGGAGATCATTTAGAAAAATTCTAATGACGTCTTTTAAGTCGCATCTGTAAGATCTACTTACATACTAAATTTCATGAAATGAAATGAAATGAAATGGAGTTTAACGTCCTACTGTTCTGCTCCTAACCTGGGCTAATGAAGACGGGCATACGCCATACAGTGTGCTATGAGGGAAATTTTGCCCGGACAGCGGCACTACGGCCTACTCTTATATCGAATTCCAACTGCCAAGGGATCTTTTACGTGCACGCCAATGTGTACACGGGACCTCGGTTTTTCGTCCCATCCGAACGACTAGACAGCTTTCCTTGTCAGCCCCTCCGTCCTGCATCACTGACAAGGGAGAACCACGCCGGAAAATCTGGATGAACTTTCTCGGCCAATGCAGGGATCGAACACCCGACCTCCAGGCTAGCGAGCTAGCGTCTTACCCACTTAGCCACGTGATCCCCAAAAATTTCATGAAAGTCGCGCAACTATTAAAGAAGTTGTAAAGTTGGTCTCAACTTCCGGTTCTAAATCACATCGACCAATTTTCGAAATTCGAAAATCCAAAATTGCGGATTTAAAGTAAATGTTTCAAGGTACTCAAAGAAAAAAGAATTAGTAAAATAGGTCAAATAGTCACAAAGGTACAGCAATGTAGGTCAAATGCATTTGTTCGCAAAATTAGGTGATTTCGGATTCGAAAAACCTTCGAAAATATATCTAATCAACAGCCACCACCCATTTTGGGGGGGATAGGTAAAAGTTTCAGAAAGATCCTATGGTTAGATTCTGAAAAATCCGATTTGTGGACAAAACACATAAAAAAAAAAAATAATAATAATATTAATCTTAATAATAATACTGTAGTTTTAGACTATTTTGGGCATAATTCGTGATGTCACCATATCGTGATACGTATCGCGTATCAGTGTCGTATCCAAAATAAGCTGTATCGACACAGCCCTATTCATTAAATCAATACCTTCCATAATGAGCATTTTCTGTTCAGAATAAGCAGAGCGATAAGCAATTTGATTGGTCGAGACTTTGGAACACAATAACTCTCCTAATTGAGGTAGTAGAATGTTCAAACTTGGTGTAGGTGTTCATTAGGTGAATGCCTTGATGGAGTTCGATGATAAACATTGTCTGCTTACGTTAAGCAGAGATAAGCAATATGATTGGTTGATGCTTTGGGCCATGATATCTTGAGAGTGATTAAACTCCAAGTATGGATTCATCATATCATTACCTTGACCAAGAATTTTCTGCTTAGGCTAAGCAGCGATAAGCAATTTGATTGTCAACACTTTGGAACATAACAACTCTGCTTTTAATTAAGGTAGAATGTTTCAACTTGATGTAGATGTTCATTAGGTGAATGTCTTCACTGAGTTCAATGATTAACATTTCGAGCTAAAGCTAAGCAGAGCTCAGTAATTTCATTGGTCGATGCTTTGGGACAAGATAACTTTAATTCTATCTGATAGAGCGTGATGAAACTTAGTGTATAGTTAATAATTAGTTTGATTGCTTGATACTTTTGAAAAAAATAAATGTGCTATTAATTGATGTGTCATCTGTTTATTCTGGGATTTTGGCAGGGGACATCAGCCTCACTGTTGGCTTGTCTTTGCTTAGCCTACGCAGAAAATGCTTATCTCCGAACCCCATCAAGGCATTCACTAAATAAACACCTAAACCAGGTTTATATATTCTAGCTAAATTAGAAAGAGTTATTGCATCAAAAAAAGTGTGACAGACCCATTTTAATAGTCCTGTGCTTTCTTCGAAAGGGGGGAAGACAAAAAAACTTCAGTCAGATAGATCCACTTGGGTGCTGGTAAAGAAATAGAAGCTAATAAAATAATTACATGAAGATGTCACATGGCTTCCCTGGCTGTCTTGTTTGCCAGTTGTTAGAATTGGTATATTCACACTTTCCATATTGAAGACAATGTCCTTTTCCCTTTTACTCTGGAAAAAAAAAAAAATCTAAAATTAATGTTTAATGGAGATGCACAGATGGAAACAGTTGAGGACAAGATATTACACACTTTAAGTTTGGGGGTATTGATAAGCAATGAAACATACGCCACAGCAGCTAAATCGTCCGAGCAGTGGCATATTTATTCTGTTTAGAGCTGGCGAGATATTTCGTTTTTTTCGATATAAAACTGTTACAGAAATAAAAAGGTTGCCAGGCAACGAAACATACACCACAGCAGCTAAGTTGTCCGACAGTCGACAAGAGTTGTCGCATATTTTTTCTTTTGTCAGTAATGAATACATTTACAACACACTAAAATCTGATGAGTAACAACCCAACTAAGTAATTTTCAGAAATCATTGAAATTTGTTTTGCTTGTTTGTCTCATGACCTTAAGGGCGTTGCCATGTCTGACCTACGGTAACTTCACAATTATAATAATAATAATAATAACTAGACCTGCATGGCAGTGCTGAATCAGCTTTCAGACAACAGACCCGAAGAAAGCATACGGAAGTCCATTCACTGCGCTTTCGAACGATACTTTAGCTCTTTTGATCTGGTAATATCCAACGGAGAAATCACGTTTTTGGCAAAAATCTTCATTTTTTTGCATTTATTTCAAAATATCGGATATTTTTTCGACTACTTCCGGGTTTTGGATCATTGTTGGGATAGCTTTAACAAGTTGTATAGATACTTAACTTCCTGTGCCAGAAATGTCAGAAACATCCATTGAGTAGTTTTCGAAAAAAAGATAAATAAAAGAGCATTTTCAATAATTTAACGATTTATCAACTTTTTTCAAAGATTAAGGCCATTTTTGGACCACCTATATTATTTCAATGCTTTTATTTTTGGATTCACACCCTAGATCACCGATAGTTCTCTGATTAAAAAAAAGTTCAGAAAAATCGTTGGCGTCGTTTTCGAGAAAAAGGCGTCCCAGAATGCACCAAAACAGAAAATACTAGATTTTCCGCGTATCATAATTTATTTCCTAACCATCGAATTCGTATCATTTAGATGTCATAAGATAATCTATTCATGGGACTATCCGAGGACACTTTAATTGTTTTGGTCCGCTAATATCTGACGGAGAATTCGAGTTTTTAACAAGAGCGCCACTTTTTTACCTTTTTTTTCGTTTTTTAAACTACTTCCGGTATACGAATCATTGTCGGGTAGTTTTAACATCCGGTTTTGGAACTTGAATGGGGACAGGGCTTTATAATGATATACTAAATTAACCGATCAGATAAAATCACCCTGAGAAATCCTATGGTCAGAAGTGCCAAAAATGCAAAAATGTCAAAATATCGAAAATTAAATTTCAATAACTGACTACATATTATACATGTTTAGGATCGCTATTAGGTCAGTTTTTTTCAATTTATACTTTTTTTTGAAAATCTGTTAAAGTAAACTAAGAATAAAGCATTTTCCAAAAGTTCACGATTTTTCGACTTTTTTCAATTTTCAGTCCCTTTTTTTATCCTATTCCAGGCATTTCAAATTCTAATTGGATGGTTTCATGAAATTGGACGGAGAAATCTCGTTTTTCCCAAAAGCACCCATTTTTTGCGTTTTTTTCAAAATATTGAGCATTATTTCGACTACTTTCGGTTTCCGGACCGTTGTTGAAATTTCTTTATCCAGCGGTCTGACTATATAGCTTTATGTTCCAGGACTTTCAGAAATATCGATTTATCCTTTCCCAAAAATATAAGGGTTTGGAAATGGGCAGAAAATTCGAAAAAAATCGAAAAATAAAGGGCGATAACTCGGAATGAAACTTATATTTCTGGAATCGGATGGTCTTCAGGTATACAAAAATGTAGGTCAAATTTGAAAAATAACAAAAATTGTCTCTTAAACAACATTTTTCATTTTTCGAACGCTAGAAGTCAGTGACGAAGTTTCGAAATTTCAAACTGCTATCGTCCAAGAAAAGACTCGGGGTTTCTGAAAATGTCATTTGAATGAAAATGGGTACAGAATTGACGAAGCTACGGCCGTTTTTTAATTTTTATGCACCGCACGAAATTCGGCCACTTCCGGTCTGCGCAGAAGTTTCAAAAATAGTTTATCAAGTAGCCACACAACGGTTTCCAGATAGAAAATTAGGTCCCATATCGGTATCTGTTACAGGCACTGAGAAATTTCATCGTCACGTGACATTATATCAAGTATTTTAAAAGAAAAAAGAACAACAAAAAATAATTATCAAAATCGGTGAAAAAGTCGCGAAGTTACAAGTCTAAATATAGTGAGAAACATTGCACCCGGGCAACAAAATAATCTGAAAACTAAAGGGAAATAACTGAGACTTGGATTGCTGTAATCGGAATGACATTACGTTCCAGAAGTTTCAGAAAAATGGATCAAGCCGTTTAAAAACGGGACGGATGAGAACATGAAACGTAAATGGCGGGAAACAACTAAAAAGGGGCAGGAAAATATCAAAAAAATAAATGAAATAACTTTGAACGGAACTAACATTTTTTGAATCAGATTGACCTTAGCTGTTCAAATATTTAGGTTTCATTTGTAAATTTTGAAAATTAAAATTAAATTGTCCTGCAAACAACTTTCAAAGGCGAAATACGAAATTTTGAAAATTTTCAAACACTAAAAAGTCGATCTTGATCCCGAGCTATCCTGAAATAAATTAATTTCAGAAATAATAGACGCATTGAACATAATACGGCCTATTGTGTTTATTTTCACGTCTGTTCAAGTGGATTTTTCACTGTTATTCAATTCCAAATGGAGACCATCCGTTGACCGAAAACCTGTTTTTTCTTTTGCTAAAACTCTTTTTTTTAATCGGATCAAAACGGGAGCAAAGCACAAAGTCCGGGGTGGTAATGGGCGTATTGTGGATTATTCAATTCCAAATGGACACCATCAGTTGACCGAAAACCTGTTTTTTTTTTTGCTAAAACTCTTTTTTTAATCGGATCAAAACGGGAGCAAGGCACAAAGTCCGGGGTGGTAATGGGCGTATTGTGTCCAAATTTCATGGTTTTCGGACAATCGGTGTCGGTGTCATGGCGAAATTCCACCATTTTCCCCTTATGGAAGCCGTAAATTGACTTAGAAAAAACCCCAACCTGGAGCCGTGCCAAGAACAAACGACTTGAACGAATGCAGGTATCACCTTGAAATTTTTAGGGTACCTAGGTACCAACGTGAAAAGTTCCTCGCCGGAATTTGCTACTTATGGTACCTTTGGTTCCAGCGTAGCGCATGCGCGAAGTCAAAACCAGCTAAACTCAAAGCAACCTTGTCGGCACGGAAAACATCAAAGGCGAAATTCGAATTTTTGAAATATTCAAATACCAAACATTCGACCATGAGCCAGGCTATCCTGAAATGTATTAATTTCGGTAATAGGAGACAGATTCTTTAAGCCACGACCAATTGTGGATGCTTTCAAGCCCATTAATGTGGATTTTTCACTATTTTTCAAAATGGCGTCTTCAAGGATTCGGAAAATATAATCCCTTTGTCTGTAAGTAAAATATCAAAAAAGCCTTAGCGACATTTCACATTTCAAGATGGTGGCACTTCCGGAATGGGCTACAAACTCCATTTTCTGTGAACGAATCAGAAGTGTCGTAGCTAGTAAAGAAAACAAGCCAACAGTGAGGCTGATGTCCCCCGCCGAAATAGCAAAATAATTAGATGACACGTATTAATTAATAGAACATTTATTTTTTTCAAAAGTATCGAACAGTTAAACTATAGACTAAGTTTCATCACTGTCTATCAAATAGAATCAAGATTATGAAACTGATAAGCTCTGCTTGGCTTCAGCTCGAAATGTTAATCATTGAACTTAGTCAAGACATTCACCTAATGAACATCTACATCAAGTTTAAACATTCTACCTCAATTAAAAGCAGAGTTATTATGTTCCAAAGTCTTGACCAATCAATTAAATTGCTTATTGCTCCTTAGCCTTAGCAGAAAATTTTCACCATCGAACTTAGTCAAGGTAATGATATAATGAATCTATATTCGGAGTTTCATCTCTCTCAAAGTTATCATGCCCCAAAGCATCAACCAATCAGATTGCTTATCTCTGCTTACCGTAAGCATACAATGTTCATCATTGAACTCCATCAAGGCATTCACCTAATGAAAGCCTACACCAAGTTTGAACATTCTACATCAATTAGAATGTGAATTATTGTGTTCCAATGTCTCGACCAATCAAATTGCTTATCGCTCTGCTTAGCCTGAGTAGAAAATGCTCATGATTGAACTTAGTCAAGGTATTGATGTAATGAAACTATACACCAAGTTTCATCAATCTCACTTAATTAGAACTAAAGTTATCGTGTCCCAAAGCATCAACCAATCAAATTGCTTATCTCTGCTTACCCTAAGCGGAAAATGCTCATCTTCGAACTCCATCAAGGCATTGACCTAATCAACACATACACCAAGTTTGAACATTCTAGCTCAATTAGGCAGAGAGTTATCGTGCCCCAAAGTATCAACCAATCAAATTGCTTATCTCTGCTTACCCTAAGCGGAAAATGCTCATCTTCGAACTCCATCAAGGCATTGACCTAATAAACACATACACCAAGTTTGAACATTCTAGCTCAATTAAAAGTTATCGTGTCCCAAAGCATCAACCAATCAAATTGCTTATCTCTGCTTACCCTAAGCGGAAAATGCTCATCTTCGAACTCCATCAAGGCATTGACCTAATCAACACATACACCAAGTTTGAACATTCTAGCCCAATTAGGAAGAGAGTTATCGTGTCCCAAAGCATCAACCAATCAAATTGCTTATCTCTGCTTACCCTAAGCGGAAAATGCTCATCTTCGAACTCCATCAAGGCATTGACCTAATAAACACATACACCAAGTTTGAACATTCTAGCTCAATTAGGAAGAGAGTTATTGTGTCCCAAAAAGTGTGACGGACAGACAGACGGACAGACAGACGGACGAACCCATTTTAA